GTGTGAGTGTGTGTGTATCAAGCAGTTATGAATGCTAAGCTGCCAACAGAGTGGTTGTTAGGTACAGAGTGAAGAAAATAAGAGATCAGGCTGAGATCTGGGGAAGCACAACCCCAAGTGGTAAAGCCCTGAAGACTCAGAGGCTAAGGAATACAATCTGGGCTCTTTCTCTCTCTTTTTTTAAAACTTTTTATTTTAGTAATTTTTTATTGAAATTGAAAACAATCTTATTTTACATACCGATCCCAATTCTCTCTCCCAGCTGACTTGGCTCTTTCTCTTGAGGCAAGCCTTAGATAGGCCTGGGCTGCTATAAACATACAAATGGGATAGTCTTATTTCTATTTTAAAATAGCCAACTCTTTTCCAAATGTGTCTCCACTACTATATATGATGATGTTTAAAATATGATCTCCATGATCTGTTTTTCAAAGTGAATCCACTGTTCTTGCAATTTCAAAAACTTGCCAAAAATTGGACATTTAAATTTAAAAATTGCTTTGGACAACCAAGAAACCAAACAAAAACTATATATCATTTGTTATGTCATATATACCATTCTATTTAACATAAGGGCACACATGTATTTTTTGTAAATATGAACACATATACAAACATTTAACTACACCAAGATTCTGCTCAGGCTTGTGTCTCTTATTGTACACATTGCTTATAAGTAACAACATTTATATTAAAAACAACTATACAATACTCTGTCCCTCCATCCATTTATATTTTCACACATACAGCTGTTCTTTCATATAAACGTGCTCTTCATATGCATACATATTTAACCACTTTTGGTCGGTGTATTGAAAATATTTGGGGGAAAATTGCATATGTGCTGAACATACATAGACTTTACAGAGACTTCATTTCTGCGATTTTCTAAGTCACTTCCATCTAACAAATATTAGCATAGCATTTATATTTTGGTAGGTATTGGAAGTAACCTAATCATCATTTTGCTGTTGTAGTTGTTTTTCAAGACAGGGTATCTCTGTGGCTTTGAAGGCTGTCCTGGAACTAACTCTGTAGACCATGCTCGACTTGAACTTGCAGAGATCTGACTTCCTCTGCCTCCCAACTACTGGGATTAAAGACATGCTCCACCACTACCCGGCCCTAACCATAATTTTCAAGACAAAATATATAAGCAGATTTTTTTCTAAGTATGTTGATTGTTGTTTAGTGAGGATGTCTCATTAGGTGGTTTAGATATGTGTAAACATCATATAATACACACAGAATAGCTATTACCACACTGGGCAGTATAGTCTTATGTAATCAATATCAAATCCTTTTTTTTATCATCTGCATAGAGTGTGAAAAATATCTCAGCCCAAAATAAATATAGGTTATGGCTAAGATTCTAGATGTTTTATGGACCCAATAATTCAGAATTATCTGAAGGATATTTTGTGTTTCTTTTGCATTTTAATAGAAATAATCATTTAATAAGCATTCTAGTGTATATCTGTGAACACCACTGTAGAGAGATGCCTTTTCCTTTTCAGCTGCTTTGGTTTTTCCCCACCAGTCACCTGGGCTCTGCCACATTGTAGTCCCCAAATAACACACAAGACGCTGTATTAATTATAAAGCTGTTGGCCTTGCTTTTTTCTTACTGGCTAGCTCTGACTTAAGTATTTATCCCATATTTGTTAATCTAAGTATTTCTCTTAGGGAGAAAAGTTCTGGACATCTTACTTCTCTGGTGAGCTACATCATGACTCCCTGTGTTTCTCCTACCCAGAGTCCTCCTGGACTCCTAGTCACCCCTATCTTGTTTCCCTACTGGGCAACAGTGCTTTATTGACATATACACAAGCCTTCCGTATCACCTCCTCTTTTCTGTCTAAACAAAAAGAAATGTCTTAACTTTAACATAGTCAAATTATATATAACAGAGCAGTTATCAAGTAAGAACACAGTTACAATATTTTGTCTATCAACATTTAACAAGATTTAAAGAAAATATCATCCATCCCATCCTTATGAGTCCAAAGTTCTGTATGTAGCTTATCTTTTATCATAACTAAGGAAAACTATAATTATAACTATCTGCCTTCAACTCTATCAAAGACCACAGAACGATAATATATAAACACTAGGATTGACAGAGACATCTTACTGCCTTGACAGTCACCCGAAGTTCCTCTGTAACGTTGGGGCATCCATCTTCAGCCTATAGGCCACAATCATTCCAAAAGATTTTTCAGCAAAGCAGGAAATTTAAAACTGTCCATCTGCATTCGCAGTCTGTCAGTCATTTTTCTGTGTCCTGCAGAAAGTCTCATAGATTCTTCCATGAGGCAGGAACCCTAAAGGACTATTTGAGTTCAGCAGTAACTTTCCTGTGGGTCCTGCATGTCCAGTTTATACATCATCAGTCAAACAGTCTAGGCAAGAGCAGTTTCTTGCCCACATGGCTAGTCTTGCCATGTTGAAAGCAAACTCCATAACAAGTTTTTTCAATGACCATAATTGGTGCTGCTAGGAGCAGACTTTCCCATTGTCAAGAAAAACCCTAAACCATTTTAAATGCCATTTTATGAAGGTCTTTGAAAGGTTTGAAGATTGTCTATCTATCTCAAATACATTTTTGTATATCTAGAAAACCTAACTTACCTAACTATAAGTTCTGACTATTATAACTATCTATAATCTGTACTTAATTATGCAATATGTTTTAAAAGATTAGTATAAACACAATACTTAATCAAGAGGAGAAATATACACATCACAAAATTGACCTTGAATTTGTATCAATAAATGAAAAACTATACCAATACAAAGTACTCATTTCCATACCATAATCCCTTTTTCCTTTAAAAAGAGATTGGTTGTGATCATTAACCAACTATAAGCAATCTCATTCAAATGAAAACAAAGATTTATAAACAATATAGGGATTTGAACGTCGCTAATTCCAAACTGCTTCGTGCTGGAAGGGGGCACTGTTCATACCATTGGGATCACGACAAAACTCGGAAACTTGTAGAAGTCCTTATTTTCCGGGTCTGTAAGGCTCCATCATCTTAGCTGTTTTAGATGTTGAATCACTTCGGCCATTGCTTCTGGGGGTCTTGGTTCATCAAAGCCTGGAAGGAATCCATAGCTTTCCATTTTCAGAAGAAACATAAACAAAAGCTTTTCCAAAGTAACATATCCTTAAACTTAAATTTTGAAGTCAAGGCATTTTCAAAAGATATAAGTTGAATTAATTCAGCAGCATTTATAATTAAGTGTACTTTAGCAGTTGTTCCTTCCTTAGCAATCAAAAAACTGAAAAACACAATAGCATACAGTATCCAGACTCTGTGTATTTTCCATCTTTACGTGGCTTATTTATTTATCTATTATTATTACTCTATTTCTTTTACTTTTATTTATTTTTTTCTGAGACAGGGTTTCTCTTTGGATATCTGCCTGCCTCTACCTCTGGAGCAAATCCTACCATGTGTACTACCACAGCTGGCTTCTCTATTTATTTACCACTATGCCGTTTCTTTTTCTCTCTCAATCCTATGTATAGTTTTAAACACACTGTAAACCTTTAGAGGTTTGTCTTTATCCATGTCTGACTTTACTGTAAATCTATATGTTTTTCTGGCCACGTGTCTCATCTGTAAAACCGCGGCTGTTTAAACTGCAGTTTTTCTAAGATGGTGGGCTTAAGCGTGATTCCAGCTCACTGTCTCAGTCTATGCTGACATCCAGCAAAAGCTGTCAGCTTACAAATGTGGTCACTGCCACTTCCAGTTGTATGTACACACCTTTCAATTGTTAGCAGAGCCTCTTAAAAGAACCTTGCTGTTTTTTTGGTTTTTGGTTTTTTTTGTTTTGTTTTGTTTTGTTTTTTGCTTATTCTGAGTCAGGAAGACTCCCTTAAGTGAGCCACACGACTCTTTGTTTATCGCTAGCAAAACAGAGCCCACCTGAGAAAAATGCTGCTACCAAGAACCCATGTCTTTCTCCGTTTTTTTGTTTCTAAAATTCCTTTAAATCTTTTGTTGTTCTACATGGAAATTCATGATCCCACTTCTGGTCACCACTTGTAGAGAGATGCCTTTTCCTTGTCAGCTGCTTTGGTTTTTCCCCACCAGTCACCTGGGCTCTGCCACGTTGTAGTCCCCAAATAACACACAAGATGCTATATTAATTATGAAGCTGTTGGCTTTGCTTGATTCTTACTGGCTAGCTCTGACTTAAGTATTTATCCCATAATTGTTAATCTAAGTATTTATCTTACCTGAGAAAAGTTATGGATATTTTAATTCTCTGGCGGGCTACATCGTGACTCCCTGTGTTTCTCCTACCCAGAGTCCTCCTGGACTCCTAGTCCCACCTATCTTGCTTCCCTATTGGCCAACAGTGCTTTATTGGCATATACACAAGACTTCTGCATTACACCACCATAAGAGATTTATCATTAAATAAATGGAGGAAATTGAATTCAATCTCTTTCCATTTTAAGAAATTTGTGATATATTATTTAACAAAGTGTTTTACAAAAATATATGAATTTATTTTGACATCTATCATAATAAATATAATAAATGCCAATACTATTAGAAAACAATTATCTAGCAAATAACACACTTATTACAGTAAGGGAATCAAGGATAGAGAATCTATACATTTTGGAAACATGACATATGAATGGATAATAAGTTTCATTAAGTACCTTATGTGTATGTTCATCAGGAATCTGTTTTCTATAAAAGGGTATATTAAAATTATTTGTCTACATTTGGCAAAAATTTGAAGATAAGACCCTAGATAGCTATAGTATCAATGCATGGTTCTCAACATGGGTAGCTAATTTTATATAGTTTAAATACTAATAATCTTTAACAACTTTCATAGAGAAAATAAAATTTTCCAAGATAAATGAATTTGTAATAACAGTTACATTTTAACATGTCAGCTGTTACACAGAGTAAGTTGTAATTTCTCTATTAACCATATTATTATATATTTGTGCTATTTTACAGCTCCCTCACCAGTCACCAATGTGAAAAGAGGAAAGATTGCAAAGAACAGTATCTCTTTATCTTGGCAAGAGCCAGATCGTCCCAATGGAATTATCCTGGAGTATGAAATCAAGTACTTTGAAAAGGTAGGACTCACAAAATAAAAATCTCTTTTTATTTTTTCTTTCCGCTTTAGCAGTTTCACTCATATATTTGTACAAAAGGAGGTTGTATTCTCATGTGGAAAACAATAAAAGTCTATTTTTCAGCTGTGCTTGTAGGGCCAGGAGCCTTCAGTGATTTGACTCTCACATTCTATGGTGGCTGCATATAGATAATGGTATAAAGTCAGCTTTACTGATTACACATTAAAAGATTAATTTGGGGGCTTGGGAAAGCCCTTGCTGGTTAAAAAATACTGTGTACTTCAAGCATGAGGAACTGATTTTGGATTCCCAGAACCCACATAAATGTAAAGTGTGTATGACGACCATTCTGCAATTTCTACTCCAGAAAGCAGAGGAAGGGGGTCTCCAGAGAAAGCTGGCAAGGGCCACTAAAGATGTTGGTGAGTTCTGGTTTGACCGAGGAACAACAACCTTCAATAAAGTGGATGAAAAATCATGATGTTTCTCTACATCAAACTGTGATCTGTGGATTACACATGGACATGTGCATCCTCATGCATGCACATGTGTGCAGATTCATCCACATGTACACACATGCTCACCTTTGTGCACAAAAAATGACAAATTCAAATAAATGACAAATCATCCAAGATTCTGAAAATTGTAGTGAATATTCAACCTGCTGGTTTTCAATAGTGAGTGCAATATCGAACAAGAAAAACTGCATGTAATTGTGGCTGGTAATTATAACAGTAACAGTCTGTTAAAGTATTCAAAATCACACACACACACACGCACACACGCACACGCACACACACACACACAGAAACACATCCATAATAAGTGTCTAAATCTCTGTATTTGAAATTTGAGGCAAAATAATAGAAATACTTTCTTTATATTCTCTGCCTTCATGATTTCTTATGTTTCCCTGAATAACTTATGCCTTAAGTTTGTACCTACACACACACACACACACACATATATATATATATATATTTGCAATTGTTATTATCAAAAGGAGGTAAACATCTCTTACATTATTTTGACTCTATAATAAAGTAAGCTATTGGGAATAGAATCAAATTTTTGGAAGCTCAGAATGAGTTTTTAATTTATATTGTTATGCTTGCATACATGGCTGAAGTCATCATCTATCATTCTATCTCCCCATCCTATGAAAATGTGATTTTTTGTATTTTCGAACTTCATAGCATATCTTTAGACTAATCTGAGTTCCAAGAATAGTTCAAAAAGTTAGATGGTTGTCCCAATCAGTTACAATAGGTAAAGTGAAGATCTTTACTCAAATGCTGTTCTTTGGAGCAGAAAAGTACAGGAACACAGTACATATAAACAAATCCCAGTGGAGTGGAATGAGTGAGCCACACTCAGTAGATACTCATAACTCACAGAGGCATCATTTCACTTCTAGGAAAGAAAAAAATGGAATGGAAAAAGACACAAATCCTTCATGTATGATTCCCAAGAGACTTCCCAGCACAGAACATTGGAAAAGGAGGCTGGATCTTTTCATTACCACGTGAAATGCTCAGAGTAGATAATGAACATTATTCCTTAAAATCTAAGATTCCTTGTACATACTAAATAAAAGAGTCTAAGAAAACATGATCACAGAAAAAATTTTATAGTTTATATGGATTGAAAAATGCCTCCTTTTTGATTATTAGCTACTTCTATATTTGTTAAGGATAACGCATTAATGAAGGAATATGAAATATTGAGAGCTATCTATACCTTAAGTTTAAGCTCTTATACTGCCTGCAGTGATAATCCTTTTGATCTTCTTGATGAATTATCATTCTGTCAATTATGATTAATGTCAGTTTTACTTGTAACCATTGGATCACATAGAATGTAAATAATGATACTTCCAGGTGGTGGTGGAACATGACTTTAATCTCAGTACTCAGGAGGCAGAGGCAGGCAGATGTCTGTGAGTTCAAGTTCAGCCTGGTCTGCAGAGCGAGAAAGACGGCCATAGCTGTTACACATAGAAACCCTGTATTGAAGAAACAAAAAAAAAAGATAGTAATACTCGTTTTTGAAAGCTAGTTTTTTTGTAGTTATATAATTTGCTGACTTACAATAGAGTGTAATCAAATGGATTTTATCATGTCAACTTTGCTTATGTTTCATTATAATTTCTTCTTATTGTTCTCCTCTCCCACTGTCCTTCCTGGTGCTTTGGTTTTCACACCAAAAATGTACTTTGGAATGCATGAAAATGCTCTAGGAGATCATTTTCGAGATGGAGTTATTTTGCAGCATGGTTGACAGAATTTCCTCTCAACAAAAGTGGGATTAATGTAGTAGAATGTAGGGTCCTCACTGATTCCTAATTGTGTGAGTTTAGTAATAAGAAGCTGCATTTGAATTTCAGATACCTACATTCTATGTGTAGTCATTTGTAAACTAGAAATACATCCCCTATTTGCTTTTGAACCTTTAATACTTCACTCAGTGCAAAGTTGTCTAGAATTAAACATTTACATGAAAATACAAACAAACCTTGGCTATAAACATTTCATATTTCCAATCATTATTGTGATTAAAATGGATTTCCACATGTTAAAATACTTGTACTAGAAACAGTTGATATGTTTACAACTATGTAAATTATTATATGTTATTAACTTAGCTGAAATAAGGTTTATTAGCACTAACACTGCATGTTTAATGGTTACTTTTGTTTCTACATTGTTTTTCTTTTATTCGATCAATGATTAACAGTATTCAAGTTTTTACTCCCAAAATCCTTCCCGTGCCTCCCTGATTATTAGCATTGTCTTTATCTACAGTTTCCAGCTTACATACATGACTCAGTGTAAACAAGGATGTCTGTCTCTTTCACTCATTTAGCTGCAGCTTCTGTTAGAGCACAGATATTAAATGTACCTTAGGAAGTGTTACTTGTTGCTATTGCTGGTGTTCTGAAACCTGGGACTTTTTTTTACAAAAGGAGAATTTCTTTTTCTGTTATCTAGTTTTAACATGATTTGTACTTTAATAGTTTTCATGTAATGGTATCTTAATATGTTTTATTACCTATATACCTGAAGGTGAGAAAAATAGTATCATGCTGGGGAATTCTCATTTGGAAAAGTACTTGTGAACATGTTTGAGGGCCTGCTTCTGATACCCATAGCCTGTGTAAAAATTCCAGGTGTGGTGATGCATGCTCGTAATTCCACTGCTCTGGAGGCTGACCAGAGAGTATCTCTGGGGCTTCCTGGTCAGCAATCTAGCTAGTTGATTTTGAATTTGAAGTCCATGAGAGATTGTCTCAATGGAGGTGGATGACATTTCTGAGGATGCCACTGAATGATTGCCTTCTATTATTCAACACATGTATACAAGTGAAGATGAGATCCTGTGTACACACATTGGTATGCACAGGTGCAAACACACACACACACACACACACAAAAGAAAATGCTTTGATTTGGGAAAAATGATTTCTATACAATAAGGGTAAAATACCCTAATAATAATTTGCCTTTGTATACATTTAAAAGTACTAATGCATACAGTATTTGATAGAAGTTTTAGATTTGATTTGTTAGTGTTATTAATTCCATGAAATGGTATCAGATCATTATTAAATGTTCTCATATACACATAAAATTATCCTAAAACTTCTAGGAGGAAAAGGATAGTGAGCCTTTATACCATGTTGAGGTGGGGGGGCGGTTGGTAGATTTCCATTTGGCTCATTTGGAACCTTCAGAGTGACACCACTCTTTTATTGGATGGCTTTTGGCCAGCCACAGGTGGCCCAGCCTTCTAGGATATGCAAACTTGCCAGCTGGCACACGTATCCACCATTGCCCTGCACTAATAGAGGTCATTGGACTCCTCTACTCTGGCCTGGTGATGGGCCTCTTGCCATCTCTTAATTAAAGGCAGAAGAAAAGGAGAAGTTGCCCCTTGACAGGCTATTTGCCAGCTGGCTTCTTTAGTCGGGCCCTCCCTTCACTACATGTGAGCAGTGTTCATTGAGCAGCTGGGGAATGTAGCTCGTTTGCTCAGCTGGGGCATCAAGGCAGCGAACAGCCCAGCCCTGATCTACTATTTGGCAGACAGGTGCTGTTTGTTGCTGATGAAGTTATATATAGAGTTTGTGATAAGATGAAAATGATCCTGTTACAGTGATTTAAAAAGAAGAATGGAAATATATTTGTAGAATACTGAGATTATTCGAATATGTATTAATTAGTTTTAATCATGTAAATACAGTTTTTGCTACATTATTTTTAAAAATACAGTATGAGGTAGCTCAGCAAAACATAAAGCAATCAGACACTAGATAAAGAACAACTAAGATATGTAAACCATAAAATCAAACAAAGGTGTCTTTGAAATAATGCTGTGTCACACATTATTTAAAATATCATTTCAGTGTTCGTGTAATTACTTTAAAATCATTTTTGTCAAAATAAAAATTCAGTGTAATTACAGAATGCATTCATTGTTCTCCATTAGTTTCAACCAGAGAAGATATTGAGTAATCAAATTTACCTGTTTAATGTGTTGTGATTTTCCTCTCAATTACATTGGTAGACTTTGATTTCCATTTTAATAAAAACAATCTGAAGTCTGGAGTCCTGTAATAGATGTTAACCATATACTTAGAATCAAATGTCAGTATTCCTGTAGTCTTAAAAACATCCTTCCTATATTAAAATTTTATTATTTTATGTGAAAGAAACTCAAAATCATAGCAAATATATCTTAATATAGAAATGTTTTTACTAGATTTCTCTTCACAAAGTTAAGTTTCTTTCAAAGAGATGAAAATAATATTAACAAACATATTTAATCATTTCCTACTAAAAGTTAATTCTACAATCATAGCCAAATTGCAAAGTTTATTACTGAGAACTTGTGGTATTTAGGCTCAATATAGAAAAAACAGTGAATAATATTAACAGGTTTGCTCAGTCATAAACTAGAGCACTCTCTGAACTCTCAGTAACTACAATAGAATATAAACAGTTGTGTGCAATATTTAGGAACAGCACAAGGATTGACTGTTTTTTACTGCTCTTCTCCTAACAAGAGCACAATTGACTGGAGACAATGAAGATGGGCTTTTGAATAAAGAAACTGGTATTTAAGGTTCATCTTCTGGCATTTAATTATGAACTTTAACTCCCTTATCAAAATACTAGTAAAATTCCCTCATTATTTTAAAGATTAATCACTTAATCTGTGTATTAAAAACTAAAGATCAACAGCAGTCCAGAATAAATGAGAAAATCTAGTTCTATTTGAAATAAAACAGACCATCCCAATTTAGACATGAATTTGGATATACCTAGGTCCATGATGACTTGATATATTGAAGCATATAAACGACAGCTGATTAGCTGCTTTCAAAGCAGTGATCTTTCAGGTTTATGCTTTATGCAGTACTGGCTGTGGTACAAAAAGTAGTTCTACATCACCTTGGTTATGTAGAATTAGGAAGAGTTGAGTATCCTTTAGATTGTGTACATTAATCAGTGAAGTGTTTTCATATTACATGTTCTATGCTTACCCCATTCTGATGACCACACTCAGGCAACAGGTCCTAATCCCAAGCACAAACGGAAATAAAAGTGAATCTACTTCAACACAGCATGTGAGCACGTGGTTAGAATATCATGGTAAATGTTGTCCTTTATCCTCAGACAGAGAGGCCATTGGGTTGGTGGAGATTTCTGTTATTATCTCTCCAGCAGGAGCAGATTCCCTTACTTAGCTTCCAATGTCTTTTCTGTTTTAACTTCAGTCACTAAGCTACTAGTCACTTCTACAGCTGGACCATTTTTAAAATGAAAAGAAAAATAATGTCCTGTATTTTGCAATTTTCTTTACTGCTTCCTGTTTAGATTGAATCAGTCAAAATTAAATTTTATTGGAAGTACTTATTTCATCTCACCAGCTTTAAATATAATTAAAATCAAATTCAAGGAAGATTTAAAGCTTACCTACAATCTGAATACTCAGGAGATAATTTCAGCATTCTAGAGAACTAGCAAATATGTTAAGGATATTACAAGAAGGCAGTCCTACAGAAACAAGCACATAGACATAGCATTCTCCAAGTAATGATCTCCTGAAATGTTATTAAATATTTATTTCATATGTGTGTGAGAGAGAGACAGGAGAGACAGAGACAGACAAACACACACAGAGAAAAGGGGGAGTCAGAGAGAGAGAGAGAGAGAGAGAGAGAGAGAGAGAGAGAGAGAGAGAGAGGCAGGCAGACAGACAGACAGACAGACAGACAGACAGACAGACACAGAGAGAGAGAATATGTATGTGTGCCATGGGACTTCAGGAACCTGCAAATGTAAGAGACCATTGGACCCCTTTGCACTAGAGCTATAGGTGGTTGAGTCATCCTGTGGTATTTGGGAACTAAACCTGAGTCTTCTGAAAGACCAATAAATGCTCTCAACTTTTGAACCATTTCTGTAAGCCCACCTTATAATATTATTAAATGTTATAAATCTGTTATTGTCCAAGTCCTACATGATAGATGAGTAAATACAATGACATCAAAGAGGTGAAGTTATGAATACATTTGCTAACTGACGAAAATGCTTCATGGGTAGTAGAGAGATCGTTGGTTTTACTTTCAATGTACGTGTGATAGAAAGTCTTTGATTTCTGGTCCAGCTCATGAGTTTTCTGTTTTGATATCAGTCATTCATGTGTTGAATATGGATTTTTTCCCTTTGTTACATATGCAATTCAAGGACCAAGAGAGCAGCTACACAATTATCAAGTCTAAGGAGACCACTATTACTGCAGAGGGCCTGAAACCTGCATCTGTGTATGTCTTCCAAATTCGAGCACGTACAGCAGCAGGCTACGGTGCCTTCAGTCGAAGATTTGAGTTTGAAACCACACCAGTGTGTAAGTCATTTTAATTACTGTCAACCCCTGTCTCTGTAATGGTTACCAGAAGAGAGTCTGCAGATCGATAGACTCCCGGGGCTCTCTGTCAGCTTTCCTCCCTTCCTTTGCTCCAGTTCTAACCCCTTCAGGTAGGAGGCCTCTGCCATGCAGTAATGGTAGGTCTGCGGGTTAACAGTGCCCTTCTTGCCTTCCCGCTTTGGTCCACCGGGAGCTCCTCCATCAAGCATCTTAAGAAATGTTTAAACCGTGCTTTTAAAGACTTCGCTCCCCCAGGTGCCATGCTTTATTGAATTATTGCCATTTACTTTTTACTTGTTTTATTGAACTATGCTACTTTAGTCTTTCTAAGAAAATTCTAAAGGGAGCTTTCTTTAGTATTGAATTTGACAAGAAAATGGTGCTTTCGAGGGTCCAATCTGATTTCCTGAAGTAAAAATTAAATTTGTGTCAGAAACTTGGAATGGAGAATCTGGAAACAGTCTGATATGCTCTTTGTTGCCTACTTGTTTAATTTCATAAAACATAACCTTAGTCTTCGACAAATGATTTTAGATAACTTGTCCTAAAGCAAATAGATAAAAGCTAAATTAGAAGTAAAAAACATGCTTTGTTTATACAAAAGAGAGCTGATGCTATTAGTGTTCTGTCAAGGAAGTAATACACATGATGGTTGTGAAATGTGTGTGTGTGTGTGTGTGTGTGTATGTGTATGTGTGTGTGCTTGTGTGTGTGTGCCTGTGTGTATGTTCATGTGTATATGTGCATGCTTAGGCATTTGTGTGCCAGTGTGTGTGTGTGTGTCTGTATGTGTATCTGTCTCTTTGTATGTGTGTATTTGTACATGCATATGTGTGTATGTGTGTGTGCTTCAGCAAGCTCCATAATTTGTAATGGAAAAGAAATCACACAGATAAAGTGTAGCAAAATGAGAGTGTTGTTATTGGATTAATGTTATAGTTATTAGAATAATTATTAAAATAAAATTCAGTAAATTCATGCAACATGGTCTCTAGGAACCCAAATTGTTTCTGTTTAAAGCCTTTCTAATTGATTTACATAAATAATTTTTATTAAGTGATGAGCAGACTCCCTTACTGCTATCCCACTAGATATTATATATGAAAAGAGACGTCAGTGGTAGAACATAGATTTTCTTTCCTACACAAAGAAAATTGTATGACTTGAGTTTAATTAAAAGTATAGAAATTGGAATTCAATGCTTAACTTTCAGATAGACTTTCCAATAGATTTAATAGTATGTCTTTATGAAGTCAGAAAATACATATAATCTGGAAAATGAATTAATTGATAAATCTCATAATTTAATCTTAAAATGGATTTGTTATAAAATATATGTTATGGAAGCTTGGAACCTGCCTACTGTAATTGTTTTCATTGTATATTATATTAGTATTGAACACTTTAGTAGCAAACAAACACTTTGAACAAAGTATATAAAAACATATGTGTGTGTTTTTGTGTATGTGTGTATGATCAATACAGGCTTCAATGGATTGTAACTACAGAGGTCAAAAATCTCATTTTATATTAAATTCTACTATGATTATGATGGTGACATGTTCAATAACTAGTTTTTCTTTAAATATTCAATATCCCACATTTTATTTTAATTAAACAGTAGTTTTTAGTTATTACAAATTCATCAGAGTACTGAGGCAACTAACATGTAGGCCATCTTTTTCTTTGATTATTATTAGGTAGGCGCTATTCCTTGCCTTTTATTAGCTATAATTAGAAAAATTATTGAATCTATATGTATATATTTATATGTATTTATACACATTGTCTATTATGTATTATCTTTTTGTAGATGGAAGTTTCTCTCCCACCCAGTTTCATAGCTGTTTATTCCCAAATAAACACCCAGAGGCCTATATTAATTATAAACTGTTTGGCTGATGACTCAGGCTTCTTATTGGCTAGTATTTACTTAATTACTAACCCATTTATATTAACCTGTGTACCTCCATGTACTCTTAGCTTACCAGAAAATACCTGGGTGTCCCACCTTCCTGGTAGCTACATGACATCTCTTCAAGAATCACTCTCTGTGTTCCTCTTCCCAGAATTCTCTTAGTCTTGTAGACCTACCTATACTCCCTGTCTGGCTGCATCCTGCCTGTCCATTGGACGAGAAAGTTGTATTCATCAACTAATAAGAAAAACATATATTCATAGCATACAGAAGGACATTCCTCCATCATCTTTTGAGCTTCATGCAAAATCCTTTTTTGGATAAGGTTTCATAAGAATGTGTAAGAAAGCAATGTGCGTAACTTCTCCAGGAGATATTTATGTAGAAAATATAACAGCCAGAATACTAACAATGATAAATTCTAAAAATCTTAATTACATTATTTTGAACTTCTTTATAAAGGGGACTATAGAGTTGTATATGCACAGGGTTACTTATAATTTGGTCTCATCTCTGGGTTCATATATCTTCCAAGCTGATTCATAATGCAGCATCCTGAAGAACCCATTTATTTCCCTTCCTGATTTTCCTCACAGTCTTCAATAACAACTCTCCTTACATTATTGATAATTGCAATCACATTAATATTTTTTGGTAATTACTTCTGTTGCTGTGATAGGACACCATGAAATTTATAGAAGAGTATATTTGGTCTCAAAACTCCAGAGAATAAAGCTCTTTCATGCCAGGTAGGCACAGCAGCAAGGCACAGTGCTAGGAGAAGGAAGCTGAAGGCACATCAAATATCTAGCAGGAAGATAAAATAAATTGGACATGGTACACGTTTTTAGCTCTCAAACCTTATTCCTAGTGACAAGCCTCCTCAAGCAAAGCTGAACTTCCTAAATTCCCATAAATACACAAATAGTTGTACCAACTATGGCACAAGTATTCAAATATGTGAATCTACTGGGGACACTCACAATCAACTCACCAAAATCTGTCCTCTGTTTCTAATATTTAGCCATATAGTTTTTATATACTTCCTAAATGTTTTTATTTTTGTTTTAGGTTTTGGGCTTTACTGAGGCTATATCTCTAATGAGACACACATATATAACACACACAAACACACATGCGCACACACGTACACACACACTCACATACACACAGTTTTATTTTTGCTACTTTTCATTTATCTTTACTTTACTATTTTTACCACAAAGAAACATTTGCTTTTTTATTTACTTTTTTTTTTACTATGACCATCATTGTTGGAGCATGGCAGCTGGCAGTCAGGCAGTCAGGCATGGAGTTTGGAGCATTAGTGGAGAGATTACATACCTCTAACATACAGTAGCACATAACATAAATTACTATTCCAAAAGGAAGGAACAGGCACTTACTAAGGACCACTGCAACAAAGTTTGGCCTGAACACCTGCAGAGAAACCTTTATATCCAGCTCAATGTGTGGTGTTAAAGGGCTTAGATGGCTCTTCCCTTTCAACTTTGCTGATTGCAGTACATTTTTCTCTTGAGCTGGTTTTAATCTCTGTATGCAGTTCTCCAGTGAACCTTCCATGGCTTTGGCACCTCCAGTATTTTGGGGTCTGGAATGCAATCTAGGCTTTACTTTCATAGCTTCATGTAATGACCTCTATGAGATACTATGCAGGGACTCCCCGAAAGATAATGTTCCCACTGCCCCACTCCCTTCCAGCACATGTCAGGGCTCAGTGGCCTTCCTTAACCACAGAGAATGATTTCATGAACTCTTTACTCTATCCTTCAAGACACAACTACAAGTACTTGACTGAAGCTGCCAGCTTCTTCTTTGGCTGGAACAAGGCCTGATCTTTCAATTGTATTTGCATAGACTTTAACTTGTTTTTGCTCTTCAGGAACAGATAATTCCTTAAGGATTTTAATGCCTGATTAGCTGAGTGGAGTCTCTTACTGTGGTTACCACACCCTTTATTCCATTTTTCCTTATCTTTTTCTGCCCAAACTCTAACATTAAGTTTCCTGATGATATTTTTACTCCTCAAATTGTACATTTTGTATTTTTTATTTTTACACTGCTTGTTCTTTTTCAGAGTAGACATGTATACAATTGGGCATGTTTCCTATGATCTGACTGTGATGGCCTATTAAGCCCCTCTTACAGAGTGTAAGTCTCAATGGCTTCTTCAAAAACCAGCATGTCCAGGATAGAAGAAAGTATTTAATGGAACCTTGTAATTGCAGAAGGTGACTCTATGACCATCATAGCAGGAAACATGGCAGCAGGCAAAGAGAAATGTTGTTGGAGCCACAGCATGTGATACACAAGTATAAGCAGAGGGGTTGTTGGGGTGGGAAAAGCTACATGGGATTGATGAGGGCTTTTGAAACCTCAAAGCCTACTCCATTAACACACCAAATCATTCTCAAACAGTTGCAACATCTGTTGACAAATCATGCAAATGGATGGATCTAGAGGACCCATTCTCACTCAAATCACCACAAATATCCTCCTTTTACATCCCACCCACCCACGCACTCAAGTGCTATGCTTATTTCCAGGTATGAGCCAATGTGTCAGGACAAATGTAATACATTTCTCAGTTTAATGTTGTCCTCTTTTCTCCTCTGATAATGAACACCCCTTTTCCTTTAAATCAATATACTTGAGCATCACTGAATTGACCTCTGAGTGTTCCAGGATCACTGGTATGCTGACATACATGCAAGCAGAACACCCTTAAAATCACAACAAATAAATTAATTTTAAAATAGAAAGAAAAGGGAAGGTAAGAACATAAACTTGTATATACAAACAATTTCTCTCACACTACTCTTAGCCTATAAATACCATTTTATTCATACAAGTTGTTAAAAATCTTGGAGTCCATAGAATGTTTTGACTGGGCTGATATGTAGGTCAGTACAAGGAGGTGATTATAAAATGAGCTCATCTTGGACAAGACAATACAGAGAGAAATAGAATCTCAAATTAAATAGACCAAGATCTAACAATGGAGTGTTAAAAAGCAAAGAGAAACTCTAATGTCTACTTGTCATTAGTTTGAAGACCACAGATTTCATATTGTGAAGTAGTACAAGTGCTACTTTGAATCATCAAAATGATTCTGCAAATAACAAGGCAAGTGTTAAATACCCAATGAGAGGGTCTCAAACCCTTAGTGAAATTTGGTTTGCTTTATGTTTCCTATATAGGAACAGTTATCAGCACAAAACAAAAATTATCATGCTTAGACACACCTACTTAAACCTTTTGTACTTACATTGTAACAATTGTCTTGATAAAGTTACAAACTGCTATAAATCCATGCATTTAAAATGTGTAGTAAATAAGTACTTTAAATTTGCCCAATCATATATACACAAGGCTTTAAACTTACACTTTGATAATTTTCAGTGTTCCTATTTATAATTGACATATTATATTCTATTTGGAGTTGTGCTATTATATTATATATAGACTATTGATATTGCAGTTTATTTCAGCAAGTTCAAAGCCCCATTTAGTTTTGACATTCTGTCTACAGGGGAGATTTTCTGAGATAATTTTTTTTGCTCGAGAACAACATCCAAACTCTGGAAATGTCAAAGCTTGAATAGTCAACATTTTCTTATATACATGAGTGTGTTTGAAGTCATGGATAACAATCTCCTCTACCTTGTAAGATGCAAGTACTATGGTACTGTAAATCTGCATTCTATTTTTATTAAGGGGAGAAAATAATTAGTGACTACTGGGGCTTTTGATTTTTATTTGGTGAGTAAATATTTCCTCCTTCAAAAGCCTTCTGAAAACAGACATTACGAGGTACCCTTAACTGAATGTGGATGAATTGTTTAAACCATGAATCATTTACCTACTGTGAAGCAACTACAATTTAAATGCATATGGTTCTTTTAACTACAAGTTCCTTTCTCTGTGTCTTCTACCAGCAGTTGCAGCATCCACTGATCAAAGCCAGATTCCCATCATTGCAGTGTCGGTGACAGTGGGAGTCATCTTGTTGGCAGTGATGATTGGCTTCCTTCTCAGTGGCAGGTAAGTGAGGAAAGAGTTTCTGAACCTTTGCAGCTGCTTTCTCCCTCACCTTGATCCAACTCTGTGACTGTATGCACATCCTAAAACAAACCAAAGCAGCAGCATGCCAGTAGATAATATCTATGCGCACCTTAGTACTTAAGTTTTATCTTGTCCATATTGATGCCAGTAGTTATCACATACTTTTTCTCCTTCTTAGACATACAAGCTACTCTCCACAGAAATGGTACTAGCATGATATCACTAACTTTGTCTTTAATAGACTGATACAGTTGTTTCTAACACAATGCATGGCTAATTCTGCATATTTTCTATATCAAAAGAATTTATCATTGCCTGATTCAGTTTTAATCACTGTTTAAGGAGCTGATTGACAGTCGTGTGAGTAATAGGACTAGCATTAATATACGGCATACATTCTGGAGTAAAAAAAAAAAAGGAAATCAGCAAATTTTGCAATGACTGCTTTCATTTAAATTTCTGAGTGATTTCAACATGAATACACCAATTCTTATACATATATACTGAATTTGAATTTCACTAAATGCTAAGTAGACAGAAAAAGTATATTTATCATGTCTACATTTTACAATGTCAAAATGGGAGATAGGCTTCCACTAGATGTTTTATTCATGTGTTTTTTATGTCAATAAGCTGAGCATAATAAATCTTCCTAAAAGCACACATGAAAGAATAAGTAATACATTGTTTTCCTGTAGCAAATATATTTTTACATTTTAATATAAGCAATAATTATATATATTAAGTAATGAGAGCTGCCTTTTAGAAATATAATGTTATTAGACTATTATGTAAACAAACATAGTTGAGGTTGACAACATGGAAATATACAATAACAGGTTCAACAAACTCAAAATATCAATTTATCTTCAATTTCCAGAAAAACATATCCTGTAATGTATTACTTAGCATTTATTCTAGAATGGCACTTATTCATTTTTGTAATTTATAACTGAAAGATAGCTCATGTTCTTTTGAGGAAGATTAAACCCAAGCCATCCAGGGTACCTGCTTTCTCCTGCCTCCATTTCCTCTTCTCTCTGAATTTAATTAAGGAAGAAAGTGAGCAAACCCTTCTGTTCTTGGCTGGATAAGCTAACTTCCTTAAAACTTTCATAAAACAAAACTTTGTAGTCAAAGGAATAACAAATTTACCAAGAAATAACTATAACTTCTAATGTCTATTAACAATTTTCTTTTGTCCTTGCAAGTTTTGCATTTTGTTGAGTTAGCATTCCTTAATTTTAAGAGATGTTCGGGATTTATTTGTTTACTATTTTGACAGAAATGTCTCCACCATTTGTACTTTATTCTGAATGGAAGACTTAGTTTGTGCTTGAATACAGCTACCTATCTACCACAAATTTAAATGATGTGACCTTTGAAGACTTTTCCATATTGTTGAAGTCTTTTAATGTCACAACTTTTGTTTGGACTTTTATATTGTTGTCTTGTAATAACTGGATTTTCCTGAATTAACTCAAGTGAGATTGTTATACAAAATGTAATACAATGAAGAAATGTAGCCAAAACCTTGCACATATTTAAGTAATTATATTAGACTTCTGACAAATTATCAAAAGCTATTCTGGATATGCTACAAAATGCTAATATATATTTAAGTATATATATATATCATTCTCCCTGTGATGAGACATGACCAAAACAAGTTGATGAAAAAAAATTTACTTGTGTTATACTTCCTTTCATAGTCCATGATTAAATTAATTCAGAGCAAGAACTCAAATGGGGCAGGCAGCTGGAGACAGGAGCTGACACAGAGGCAATAGAGGTGTGCTCCTAATTGATTTGTTCCTTGTGGCTTTCTCGGTCTGCTTGTGAATGGTGTCCATGACCACCAGCCCAAAGATGGCACCCCTAACAATGGGCTGAGTCCTCTCTAGACAATCACTAATTTAAAAACTGCCCTACAACAGAATCATACAGAGGTATTTTCTTTTCTATTGAGGAACCCTCTTTTCATTTATCTCCAGCTTCTGTGTCAAGTTGAAACAAAAATATCCAACACACTTCTTCTCTGTCACAACAGCAAAAATAAAAAAGTGATTGATTGATTGATTGATGAGGGATGTCCTTCTGCATATAGGTTTCTCTTATTGGTTGATGAATAAAACACTGTTTGGTCTATAACCAGTAGTTGCAGGAAATAGGCGGGGCTAGGAGATGAGGAGAATGCTGGGGAGAGAGGCAGGTCTCCTTTAAGCCAAGACCACATGGAAATTCATAGATTTATGTAAATGGGTTAATAATGAAGACAGAGCTAGCCAATTAAAAAGCCCTAGCCATTGGCCAACAGTTTAAATAATTAATATAGTATCTGTGTGTTTATTTGGGGCTGAGAAGGGAGATGAGACCTGGTGAGACAAGAAAAACTATAGCAACAACTGATAAACTTTTATACATGCCTAAGGTTTTGATGATTTCCCACTTACTTTGAACTCTCTTTTCATAGTTTAACTCCTTGAATAAGATAATGTAACCAGATGTCTTGGGTACATCTTTGCCAATATTTTTGTTAATTGATCATAATTTGATTTCTCAATGGAACAAAATGAATGATTCAATTTTATTTTAATTTGATTCAGAAAGTAATACTAGTGTGCAAAATTTGATATATGAACTACAGGAAAATATAAATGTAATGATGGCATTTTGAATTTGTATGCACAATACAGAAAAATACACTTATAGATTATGTCACAGTGAATGCTATACAATTAAATTATTGCAAGACAACTTCAACCTTTTACTCTAATATACATTCAAGATAAAAGGAAATCAAACACAAATATTCAAAATCCTTTTAGACATCTATTGACTGGCTATCTTTTAGTTTCTTTCTAACTAGATGTAGTTTTAGAATATATGTAATTTTGTTAACCTTGAAAACAATGTATTTTTTTATGAAGTAGGAAATAATCACCTCTTTGAAAGGTGTTCATTTTTCCATAGGGCTTTTACTTCAAGGTTTAATTTTTTTCTTTTTACTACATTATTTCTCCATAACGTTTTAAATCCCATATGACATTACAGAAGAACTGACACTCTCTCAACAAGCTATGACTAATTATCCAAAGAAGATTAAAACTTAATCCCTCTGAAATGTAAGCAAACTGTAACTGTTCTTTAATCTTTCCCTTTCATCTCTGAGAGTATTGAACACAGATGAGTTCTTTATGGCATGGTTTGTGCTTCTTTCCTTATATTTACCATTTCATGAATGTAGCAGTTTAATCTGTGGGTTTTGTGAGACTTTTATTTCCACAAGTCTACAGCTAACTGAGAGCCAGAGCCTCTCACTATTGCTTCTGATTTTTTGTCTTTCTTTAAGCTAGCCTGTTTTCCCTTAAGTTTCCCCCTTTAAAACACAAGGGCCTACTAATTTCTAAAAATAGAGTCTGACAAATTTCTTGCTCTAATATAAGTCAAATTATAATGCAAGGATGCTTCAAAAACAAAGTTCATTTGATTATACAGAGGTGGTTATTTTATTTGACTCTCTATTCAGAATTCATAGAATTAAAAATGGTTTGTTTTATGTATGAAATCTAAACTTTCCATATGTTCTCATAATTAGTTGCATCTCAAGATAATTGGACATTTTTCTTTTTCCTTCAAATTGATTGTTGGGGAACATTCAGAGATAAGAAGCATACATTGCATGCATCCTCAGTCATGTATATTGATACTTGCTGTTGGACATAAAGCCCAAAAGGTTACAGCCTTTTTTCCAATTTTGAAATTGGAAAATAGGAAAATATCCAGAGGAAATGGATTTGTTTCATTTCTAAATGGTGTTTGATAAAATTTTTAAGACTATTTATTTGTGACTCTCATGAAATGATGTTTGTAAGATGATAAATTTAGTTGAAATATGGCTTATTGCCTAGAAGATGTTATTTTTAGACCAAAATTCTCTTGTGTGTTCTAAGTACATGAAGACTGTATAGCTATGATATTACCTCGATCTCCTATTAAGAAACTGACACTAACTGCTTTTGAAATGATTTGTTGATCACTGAGGTGAATTTGTTCAGCAATGAATGCACATTGCATATTTAGCCTAAACTGTAAGATTTAAGACATAGGATGACATTGGGAGCATAGGCAGTAGTTTTATATGAAACATTGCATTTGCTATTTCTTTTTTCTCTACTTTCAAAATTTAAATCAGAATCAAGCTTATTTTACATGTCAATCCCAGTTCCCTCTCCCTCCCCTCCTCCCAGGTCCCCCACTAACCCCATATCCCATTCAGCTTCTGTTCCCCAGGGAGGGAGGGCCTAGGCCCTGCTCCAAAGGATATGACAGACTTTGAAGATCCCCCATGGAAGGCATTAGCTATTTCTTATTTTGCTTGAAAAACAACAGTAAAATTTTGTGTTTTGCAATTTTCTTCTGATTCCTTAACTATATCAGATTGCAAATGGTTCAGACATCACAGACATCTATTACAATGGTTTATTGGGATTCTGTTATACATCACTGCCAAGGTTCCTCCTGTGCACTTGAGATAAAAAGAGTAATCACCTTTGCACAAACATTTATTTTTATTTTAGTAGACACCCATGCTGGAGCATGAGGTTGTTGTAAAGCACTTGGAGCAAGAATGAGAAGAGTCGACTGCACTCTGCTTACAGTCTGACATCCCCCTTTTCTTGAACCAAATTTCTTCTCTCTTCTCAAAGTTTAGATTTTGGCCATATGTCAAGGAAGGAAAACCATATGAGTTACGTTCTATAGCCGAAGCCTTTACTCTTTCTACTGAAAAGTTATAATAGGGCATCAGTTATTTCTCATATATATTTGAAAATCTCCACTCCAAGATATACTTCATTATGTGTATATGTCATTTTTTCCTTCCATAAGAAATAATGGAGAAATTTCTGTGGCCTTCACACTTAATCTAATTGAATGAGTTACTCATAAACTATGGAATTAAAAAATCAACTATGCAT